AAAACTGGCACCAGTGTGTTTTACAGCCTTCCATTTTCATGGATATACCTGGGAATGACTTACCAGATCACTAATGGATATACACATGATATCTTTTGAAGCATTGTCCTTTGTGATTTTACGATAGATGGCGCAACGGGACACTCATAACAGTGGTATGCAAAAAACGTAGGAATGACAATTTCTGATAGTTTTGGAATCTACTGAAGCATGAGGTCCATGAACACTGTGCCACCATCTCTGCATGTTTTGTAGCCATAGTTACAACAATTTATTGTCGACATGGAAAACAAAAAACAAAAGGAAGTTACCAATACCAATATTCAGAAAGAGGCTTATGCAGGAGCGTCTCATTTTTTAAAATTTTTTATTTGATGTAACTATAGCTACAAAACATTTCACTTTTATCGCTTACCTTGATAAAGTCAAAAGATGAAACTCATCAGCAAGAACTAAGAATTCTTTCCACTTGTCATTTTTAAATCATATATATATATATATATATATATATATATATATATATATATATATATATATATATATATATATATATATATATATATATATATATATATATATATATATATATATATATATATATATATATATATATATATATATATATATATATATATATATTTATATATATATATATATATATATATATATATATATATATTTATATATATATATATATATATATATATATATATATATATATATATATAATTTATATATATATATATATATATATATATATATATATATATATATATTTATATATATATATATATATATTTATATATATATATATATATATATATATATATATATATATATATATAATTTATATATATATATATATATATATATATATATATATATATATATATATTTATATATATATATATATATAAAATATATATATATATATATATATATATATTTATATATATATATATATATATATATATATATAATTTATATATATATATATATATATATATATATATATATAATATATATATATATATATATATATAATTTATATATATATAATATATATATATATATTTATATATATTATGCATTGACATTTTATATACACAAAGTCTGTTTAATTTTTTATTATATTTCATTTTATACACTTTTTAAAATGCCATTTTCTGTTGTGAAAAATATTCAATGCATGTTATTTCTGTTGTATAATAATTGTTTCTTTTGTATAATAATTGCCACAGAAGTTGTTATTTTAAAACGTGTATAAAATAATTATATATAAAATATCTATAAACCTATTTTTGGTGTTGTCAAGCTCTGTGAAACTGTTCTACACATAATGTCATATATACTATACATGTATATTTCAATTTAGAATGTAAGTAACACACTCTTGTCTATGATACTGACTACATTTCGCTCGACAGTCAAAAGTACTCAACCAAAATTTATGAACCATGAACTTTAAACAATTGATCCACAGTTTTGCTGCAGATGTGCAGCAACAGATTCAAAAACTGGAAAAATACAATGAGAAAATTAAAAAGACGTTCAGTCAGTTATGTGCCATGCGTGATACATGCTTAAGCAATCATGTATCTTTCAATACATGACTGACAAGGCAGATTTTTTCCCTGCAGTAGGTTGCCATTTGTTTCTGCAGTAGACCAGTTGGCATCCAAGGCTATAGAACCCGGTTTGTCCTGCTATTTATCCATAGCTGGGGGGCAGAGAAGAGGATTCATACTTTTCCCAAGGGTATTAGCACATAAGTGAATGTAATGGATTCGATTTTTGGTTTGTTTTGTTTTACGGCATATCAACCACAACAGGTCATTTAATGCCAACAACTGTTTTTTTTTCCTCAAAAATATATAGCTGGTAATATTATTTTTTCAAAAACGTATTATCAGAGACCTTGCTGTTGGATGTAGTTTATTGTTTTGCCCAAGATGCAGGTGTAGTTTATCATCATACCCAGGACACTCAACTTGTGGAGTTATTGGGTGCAATAAGAAGCAAAATTACTAAGAAGGCTTTCATTTTGTCAAAAAAGTAGCATGTCTCCTCATGTTTAGAATTCAAAGTGGTGTTGGAAAATAGAAGTTTAGCCTTCTTCCAAAGCAGTAGTAGGTGATTTCCAGCTTAAGATACTGGAAATAAGAATTGATAAGTGTTTATTTATAGCAACTATCTCAAGGTGACAGAATGTGTCTAGAGTGGCAAGAGAAAGAATTCTACAGCCATTATTGCCACCTGCAGTGTGGTAAAAGTTAAACATGGAATCGAAAATTCTTCCCATTCAACTGCTGGTGATTATGGTTTTGATAAATAATATTTAAATAAATTTACTTTAATTTTTTATATCTTTTCTATTAAAGAATAATTACTTTACAAACACTCTAATAGTAATATTATATTTAATAAAATTTAATTTTCTTTTAGAAATTTCAAGATATTTTCTAACTTAAATATTTAATCTATCTATCTATCTATATATAAAATTCTGTTAGTCTGTCACACCCTCTAAATTGACCAATCAAAATAAAATATTCACGAGAAAAAGGTAAGTGGATACAAAGTACAGTTGGTTTAACTATGGTGCATAAAAACTGCAAAGTAGGGTTTTTATCAAAGTATTTTTCCAAACAAATCCACTTATTCAAATTTCATCAATTGGTTTGCAAAATTGTACAAAACGTAGAGTTTGTAAATCTTGACAAAAAATGTTGGCAATAACTTCAACAATACTGTAAGGATTTCAACACGCTGACACATGTTACAAAAAAATTCTAGTTTTTAAAATTTCACAAGTCTATCACACTAATATTCTTGTGTCAACAGTACAAGAAATTTTGAAGAGAAATTAAAGACAAAAAAGTGGGACTGTATTATATACAAATATGTGTTCAGAAATTTTTACTCAGCTTAAAAGACCTTTTGTTTGAAATGGCAAATACACACAAATTAGCACAATAGATAATAAAACACACAGGTGTTGATAACAGTTCTTTACGAAAGATATTTGATATGTCGGTCATATTTGTTCTTTTGGGATCTTTTTTTTTTTTTTTTTTTTTTTGACTAATATTCATCCAGTACACGGCCCAAAGGCCACTCAAGGTAGAGGGTTACTGTGTGGTGTTGGATTAGTGTAAAAAAAGAGCAAGATATGTAGTTCTTGGGGGCTTCACTTTTTGCTCACACCATAAAGTTTGTATATATTTGAATTTTTCTTCATTTTTTTTTTTTTATAAAGTTTTCTCTCTTCATTCTTAATGAAAGATAAAATTTTTCAGAGTTTATTAATATATAGAAAAATAATAAAATCATATCAAACAATAAAGTATGATAGATTAATTAACACCTTAAAATGTATTTCCGAGTATGTCTAATTAGCCCCTTTCCCCAAAAACTTGAAAATAAGTTTTGAAATGGAACTTATATAATTACACACAATGACTAAATGTACAGATTATTTCTATTCTTTAGTATTATGAAAAATTAAATATTTTAGAGAAATATGTGTCTGACATTGATTTTAATGGATAATATAGTACAACTTAGAAATTTACATAAAGATGGCTGTACTACAGGGGGTCGTATTATACTGGGCAGATAAGTTTTTTGCTAACAGTTTCTTTTTTTCACACTTCTTGCCATTTTTGAGGGGATTTGTTTTGTGGGCCACATCTAATGTTTGAAAACCCCTGCAAAGAGGACGACTTTTTTTATTTTGGGGTTTTGCTTTCTTATCACTCGCATCCGGCCAACATGTACAGTGAATCAGAAAGAGATCTAATTTGCATTCATGAAAGACAACCTTTTTATTATAGTTTATTAATACATAGAAATATAATAAAGTCATATCAAACAAAAACATATGACAGATTAGTTAACATCTGAAAATGTATTTCAAGGTATGTCTAATTGGTACCTTTTCTTGGAAATTCAAAAATAAGCTTTGAAATGAAAATAAAAAATAAGCAATGGCTAAACATCCAGTTCATTTCTATTCTTTAATATCATGAAAAATTAAATATCTTAGGGAAATATATGTATGACATTGATATTTTAATGGATAATATGGTTGTTATCATCATCATCATCCCCTTGAATTTTGTAATTGTAGGGGGTATCTGATTGGAGAAGTCACACTAAATTTCCTCCACAACGGTCTATCAACAGCAGTCATCAACAATTCTGATATAGTCATACCTGTCCATTGTTTGACATTGACCAACCAGTTTTTGCATTGGTGTCCTCTCCTACATCCACCTTCGACGGTGCCTTGCATGATGGTCTTGCACAGAATGTGTCCAAAACTTTCAATCCTTTTCCACACAAATTCAATGGTTTTATGTTCTCAATAGAAGATGCCAAGGAGTTTGCTCATGCATCTTAAACAATTGGATCCTCCTCTCTGTTAATATGGTACTACTTATCAAAAAACATTTACATAAGAATAGCTGTACTATATGATCATATTATACTCTAGGATGTAATTCATTCTCTGTTCTTAGCTTCAGAAATGCAGAGGCATATTATATTCAAGGATGTAATTCATTCTCTGTTCTTAGCTTCAGAAATGCAGAGGCATATTATATTCAAGGATGTAATTCATTCTCTGTTCTTAGCTTCAGAAATGCAGAGGCATATTATATTCAAGGATGTAATTCATTCTCTGTTCTTAGCTTCAGAAATGCAGAGGCATATTATATTCAAGGATGTAATTCATTCTCTGTTCTTAGCTTCAGAAATGCAGAGGCATATTATATTCAAGGATGTAATTCATTCTCTGTTCTTAGCTTCAGAAATGCATGGGTGTATTATACTCTAGGATGTAATTTATTCACTGTTTTTAGCTTCAGAAATGCAGGGGTGTATTATACTCAAGGATGTAATTTATTCACTGTTTTTAGCTTCAGAAATGCAGGGGTGTATTATACTCAAGTCAATACAGTATTTATTTTAATTCTTTTTTTTTCTTTTTTTATCAGGTCTTGGAGAGGCCAAATTATATGCCACCCAGTTATGGAGGCAGTACAGTGAATTGTATGATGTCCACCGAGCACGTATTGGTAATAATAACTCCCGAGCCTCGATGGAGAAACACCACTCTCTTGATGGTTCAAGTCGAGCCCCCAAGCCCATTCGTCTAACCAGTTCTGGCAGCTCCATAGCAACTTCTGCTGCCTCACTGCTGACCATGTCTGGCTCGGACCTTCACTCTCTTGTCTCTCCCTATAGGCGAGAGGATGAAAAAATTCTGAGTCTGCATCTTCCGTCCATGGATGACGCCCACCACAATCAACTGACCGAGTTTCCGAGCTCGTCCAGTCTAAATAGAAGTCCTGTTATAAAAGTCGAACGGGAAGATAAATACGAGGTGCCACCAACCATCAATAGTGACGCCCAGTCGTGGCCAGTTGACAGCAACAAAGTCAGTTCAACTTATGACACACCTGTCTTTCCATCAGTTGATCAAATGGAGCTCAGCATTTTAGAAAGAGTTGATGTCCTGCTACGTAGAAGAAGGAAAGATTTCTTTCTAGGCTACACTGAAGATCAGCTTCGGAACCTGAGCCCCTATGAGCGACCACTGGCCACAGTAACAGAAAAGGAATATCAAGAATATCTATTCAGTGACGAGGGTCAGTTGACCTCTGCCTTAGCGACAGTATTCGATCTGACTGAACCTTGGGCATTCCGCTTTAAGAAAATGCTTCATTTAAGCCCCGAGGATGGCGGCTTCAGCACATGGGCAGATGTCAAGCAAGAATTGTATATTCTTTTACAGAATCACCTTAGTGGGAACAGTCAGTTTCATGATTCAAGCACAACCTCTTTGTTGGAAAATACACATGGTAATTTGCCTTCGCTGGACAGCGATTTGCCAAGCACGTCTGGATTGGTTGAGAAAAATACTGAAAATTTTGATTATAGTACACCAAATTCTAGTCTGGCATCAGGAAGAGATTCTCTGAAGGATCAGGCTGGAACAGTCTATTATAATTCTGGTGTTCTTAGCATCGGACGCCTTAAGAGTCAGAAGAAATCACCAGATTCATCCGAGCGAACAGTCACCTCACAGGCTTCACCCTCAGCACCTGAGACAACCGAAGATGCGATTACTATTGATGATGATACAAATTCTGAGGATAATTTTACAGGTGGTGTACATGCTCCTTCAAATCAGAGTCCGTCTAATCCTGGTAAAGTCGGTGACGAGATGTGGGTGGCCAGCGGTAGTACGAGCACAGATCATCGTCTGGAATCTGGTCGTAACCCTTTTCAACAGCAAATTTCTAACTCAAGCATCAGTATCACCTCATCCATTGATAGGAATTCTCTCACCTCTACCTCTTCAGGGTATTCCTCTGCCACTGCGATTATATCCACCCCAAGTCGATTCTCATCACCTATCAACAAAGTTGGTGCTCGTATTCCATCTTTAGACTTGTCATTATTTGGCCACAATCAGGTTGGCATTGATGTTGGTGATTGCCCTTCTTCTAGCGAGCCACGGAACATGTCTCGTATTATGTCCAGATACTCGTCGCAGTCTGCTGTTGCTATGGAATCCAGTCCTGGTAATAGTGGAGGCGGTGAGTCCATTTCTCTAAAGTCATCGAATCGTGCTAGTAACATTTTGTCAAATCCTCATCACTCGACGAGTAAGTCTTTTGTGGCCAAGCTTTGGGCGTTGAGAGATAAACTTGCAGAACGTTGCCGAGAGGATCCCGGCATTAGTTGGCACGATAAATTGCGTCCTCACTTAAAGCTTATCCGTGCACAGCTTGGAGAAACGTACACTCTCCCAAATACAGTTCAAGAATGTATGGCGGATCTTTTCCTGGTGACTCTACAGCAGGAACTCCTTGAAAAGCCCTCCACAGCATATATGGAAACAAATTCTTAGATGCTGATACAATGAATCTTTATAAGTTATTTAAACCATTTTGAAAAGGAAAAATAGAAAAAAGGTTTCTGTAGATTTCAGCTTTTGAAAAAGTTTTATTTGTACAAATTTTATCCGGCCATTAGGAATTTTTAAAAAGTCAAACATTTTTTGAAATTCTTTTTTTATTTTTTTTTATTTTATTTTTTTTTTTTTTTAGACAAAGTGTTTTAATTGTTGTATTTTGGTAACATCAGAATGATTTCTTCAACCTTATCATGTATGTTTTTTTTTAACTGTAGACAAAAACATTACAAGGACTAAAAAAAACCCAAAGATCTTGGAGAGGACAAACATGAAATTAGTCTGAACAAACCAAAATGCAATTATTGGTTTCTACTATTTCCTTTTTATGTTGACTAAAAAAAGAAAAAGGATTTTGTTCAAAACTAGTGGTTGATTTTTTCCAGCCAAGAATCTTATGGATTCTCGCAGGGCAATCAAATATGAGATCCAAATTCTATTTGAACAAGAAAGCTGCATACAAATAAAGGCATGCATTGACAAGTCTGCTGGCAATTTATGTGAATTGTCCGAAATTATAAGCAAGAAAAGAAAATGGAATGATTTATACCTACTAACATATATACTTTAAGTCAGTCATGGGTAAACTGTGGCCTGCATGCATCTCATTTGGTCTTTCCAAATGGCACTCTTAATTTCATAAGGAAAATAACGTTTCTTAAAATTCCGTTTTGTTTCATTCTCACTTGTTCACTCACACACTCTCTCATATGTAACCGCATACATAAACAATAATTGATTACGTTTCTTGAATTTTGCAAACATTTGGTGAAAGTAACATTTTCACCATTTTAAAACAGGAGAGTTTCACTAAGGAAGGTTGTATGTGTAAAAATGATTTCCTTTTGAAGCCGGAAATATTCGTAAGAATTTTTTTTTCTCTGGAGAAAAAAAAAAAAAAATACCTTTTCTTTTTTGTTATTTACAAATGAATAAATTAGAAATAAATCACACGCAGGGACGTGTGTTAATCACACTGTCACTAGTGAGATTATATCAAGACTTCAATTTTCTTTTAATTATAGAAAAAAAAGATTTTTTTCACCCCCTCCCCGCCCCAAAAAACAAACTTTTCTTGCATTTTTAAGGTATATGCTTATGCATATGGTATTCTGTAGTGAAAATTACTGACGGTATCTACTATGAAAAATTATCTTGAATCATATTAGCAGTGTAGCCCACTACTCGAAAAAAGTCACCCATGCCTCGTTTAAGTTGTGCTAAGATATACCACCTGTATCACATGAAAGTTGATACATTTATTATATGAAATATGTATAAAATGTATTAACTATTATCAGACGCAGATAGTATGTTGGTTAATATCTCTATCTATCTAAGAGCTCCTTTCATTTATTTTTTTTTCACTCTTCTCTCTATAACTAATTTTGGAGGTACCTTCAAACTTTTAAACTGTAGTGTGTATCTCTATCTATAAAAGGCAGGATGTGTGTGTGTATGTGTGTGTAACGAATGCACGGCTGCAATTTTCAATGGATTTGCACCAAAAGTTACATGCACATGCTCCAAGTTAGCAGGAAGGCCAAGACTGATTTTGCATTTCCCAACTCCCATCGATAGTGGAAATAATCGATTTTTTCATGCTTCTCTGGCAATTTTCATGTAGTTTGCAGTCATTTTCTACTGGCCAGAGTGAGAGCCTATAGCTGGCTGGCACGAATAGGCAGGAAGATTCTATTGGCCAGTGTGAGAGCCAACAGCTGACTGACATGAATGTTAACTAGAATGCTAGCATGCAAAAAAAAAAAAATCGATAGCTGCATTCGTCACAAGTGGAAAAAATTTAAATCTGCATGGCACTTTACTCCAATTGGCTCATTTGCTTGCTTAAACTCAACGTTGATTCTGATTCCGCAGAACTGGGTTGGGGTGAAAAAGTATTTGTTGTTAACATTCTATTTTCATCCGTTTTTTCCATGTTACGAGTCCTTTTTTAAAGCTGATCATTTTGTGTTCATTTTGTTTAGTTCTTTTTTCGTAACAGATTTAATGTTTAGTATAGAACTTAGAAAAAATTTGCAGTGTGAGATAGGCAAGAAGTAAGGCATGTAGCAACATCAGCACGGCAAAGAGCACTCTTTTAAAGGCAAGGAAGGGAAAAATATTTTAAGTCAAGTGATAGCGATTGCTGTATGAGTCAAACGATTTTTGAATCAAGCACAGGCAACGCCAGGCCATGCTGCTAGTAGTCTATATAAAACAAAATGATTTCCGTTAATTGCATGAGACACAGATCTCTTCATTAAGATGAATGAACAAATCCATTTTTTTTAGATATGATTAAAATGACAAATTTTATTTTTTTAAAGATCTTTTATTAGGCAGATGTCAAAAAACTTGGTGTGTGCTTCGTTTTGACTGATTTTTTAATCCCTGTATTTCACAATGTTTTGCCTTTTTTGAGTGCCTGTTGTGTTATGTTGTTGAATATGCCAACATATCATGCTCTAACAGGCTCAGTACACCAAGTGTGGGAACAAGTGATAAGCTTGAGATTCACTAGGCCTGGGCCAGGAGGGGTGGAAATGCATACAAATGTTTAACTAGAAGTGACCTGTCCAACGCAAAGGTCAAGAAAGAATGCAAACTCGGTGGATATGATGTGTGCAAAAGGGAAATCACCTGCTCCTGAGGAAGGCTGGAGGGTACATAGCTGAAGCAGGTAAATCAACAAATTAGTCCAAACCTTTCACATACAAGGTCTGTCTGAAAAGTAACAGGACTGGGTGTCATGAACAATTTATTTCAATTCCAAGCAACAAACTACATGGTTTCCTCTTCAAAGTAAATCCCCCCTCGAGTCTAATGCACTTTCCCATCCTTCTCTGCCACGCTTCTATGCACTGCTAGAAGGATTCTTTTTGGATGCCCTTCCATTCTGTCATTACACCCATCTTGATGGACTCCACACCTTCAAAACAGGTCCCCTTGATGATCACCTTCAGCTTGGTGAAAGGAAAACATCACACAGAGCAATTGGGAGCAATGTCCTTCTTGGCCAGATTCTCAGGGCGTTGTGAGCAAATAATTATTTGTCCTGCCACATCTCTCATCTCTTCTCGTGCACTGAGCGAAGCAAATGCCACAGGATCTCTTTTATAGACTTGCTGATTGTCTGGCTCTGTGGCAAGAACTCATTCTGGACAATGCCTATCACATCGAAGAATGTGAACCATCCCATTACTTTTCAGAGAGATTGTGTACAATGACTTTACATTGAAAAAATTAAAGTTGGCAATTTCAGCTTGAACATTGAAGTGGAAAAAAAACATTGTCTAACAAAATTCAGACAAGTTGCGGAAACTTCAATCAAAAACAGCAAATGAGGACCAGAATTATTAATACAAAACCAAGTTGAAATATAACATTTAATTATGGGATAATGAGAAATTAAGTCAAACTAAAATCTTAGTCATATTCTTCTGGTGTCTGTTCAAAATGGCATCCTTTTCTTCTTTGCCTATCGTCTGGCTCACACTCCTCCCCAGTCTTTTGAGAAGGTTTATCCCTTGCTTCATGTTTAGGATTGAGTTCCTTCTCCTAAATTCTTGTTCTTTTTCATGCCCCTTGTGTCTTGGTAGCATTATCACTATACTTGGGTTTGAAATGATTAAAAAAAAAATTAAACCAGTGATTTGCAACCTTTTTTTTTTTTACTTCAGGTGCACTTGTAGAATAACTAAAACTCTGGGGTTCGCGGTTCACTTTAAATTTTAATAGGGAAAGAAATTAGTCATAAACTTTGTAAATAGGAAATTTTGGTTTAGCAGTACAGTTTTCATTTAAAGGGATTTATGAAGAATCAACTAATTTTTTTTTTTTTTTTAAAAGGTTTTATTGGCCAATTTAAATCCCTTGAGGAAGGCAAAGGATTATCCACTCCTTAAAGATTAAGGAATTTAGCATCCAGTTCAAAATATCAAATGACCAAAAGGCTTGGTGTTCCTAGATTTTTAAATATAAAAATAATTCATAAATTACTCTTCTGTTAACTTGGAGCACACCTGGCTATCTCCTGAGGTGCATTAGTACACCCAGTTTAAACACTTAAGAAACACCAATCTAAACTAATAAACTATGACGTGTGATGGAAAATTTCCAAGTTTTTAACTGAAATCAAGAAAAAAAAAACTTTAAGTAAAATAGTCACATTAAAGAAAGGAAAAAAAGAAGGCACCAATTTAAACTGATAGCAGTAAGGTATAAGTTAACGGGCAATAGATGAATGTGCTCGCAATAAGACACAGTGATAAAAGGATGGTTTTTCCCATGATACTACTTTTTTAACTACCTTCACTCTTCAGCCATGTTTTTCATTTTAAAAAGCAATGATTTGAATTGTAATATAACCTAAACATATGATAGAAGTGAATTTATACATATTTTTATTTTTGTCCTTGAGAATTTACAACAAAAATATTAAACATTATTTATTAAATTGTTTATTTACAAGAATAATTTTTTATTTACAACATTCTAAAAACTAATACAATTAAAACTAATGCAATGCAATATTTATCATTTACCATTTTATAAAGAAATAAATATGGCAGTTTTCTTTATTCATAAATTTATAAACATTTACTAAATTATTAAACCAACTATAAGGAAATCATTATTTACCATTTTATAAAGTTTGAATCATTCTTTTGCCAACCATTCCAATAAATAAATATATTAAATAAACAATCTAATAAATAAATAGTGTTTATAATTTTTTGTTGTCAATTCTCAAGAACAAAGAAAATGTATAAATTCACTTTCATCATATGTTTAGGTTTTATTACGATTCTAATAATTGCTTTTTAAATAGAAAACATTGCCGAAGAGTGAAGATAGTTTTTAAAAAAAAAAAAAAAAGCGGTGTCATGGGAAAAAATTATCCTTTTCTAACTCTGTTTTATTAAGTCTAACCG